TTTTATTACGGGCCCAGGTGGGTCTTGCCACAGACAGGTTTGTCAGTGTACAGACAGGTCGACGATCCCTGCTCAGGACAGTCTTTTATTACGGGCCCAGGTGGGTCTTGCCACAGACAGGTTTGTCGGTGTACAGACAGGTCGACGATCCCTGCTCAGGACAGTCTTTTATTACGGGCCCAGGTGGGTCTTGCCACAGACAGGTTTGTCGCTGTACAGACAGGTCAATGATCCCTGCTCGAGACAGTTGCTTTGGCAAATGAATATTCATATAATCTGTCCCAGTCTGTCAGAGTGCTTAAACCGCACCATAGCAATTACAGAGCCAATAAATTGCTCACAGCGGCTAAACACTGTCAAGCTATAATTTCTATCCTCTTGAATTCTCTTCTCAATCAGCAATATAAATAATGGAATTTTTACAAAACCCTAGTAAGCATAATGGTTAGAATAAAAGTTGTTTTAATGCATCAAAACTCTGCAGCAGCCAGCCTCCCTCTGAACCTGCGATGACAGCTCACATGTAACGCTCCATTCCAGATTTTTGTTCTCTAGTTTATTTTGATAGCATGCCATCACAGTAGTTCTTTCCAGGAGGTGGCTGCCATTTGTTTTAAAACCCGCCTTTAAAGACTGCAGCGATGTGCCGCCTGTGTAATCTGAAAATAACAACACATGTTTGGATTCTGAAGTACGTGTACAAGCAGTTACTGCTTATTATCATGGAGTCAAGTCCAGAGACGGATCACCACGCACAGCGACGCATATTTCTTGTTCTTACAGATGAAGTCTGGAGCACTTCTCAGCCAACCTAACCCTTTAGGATGGGACTCGGAATCAAGACCAATGTTCAAGGTGAGTTCCTAGGTTGAGAATGCCAAGTTTTTAAAATTTTCTCCCCCTCATTCAGGCTCCTGTCTCTCCAGCGCGCTAAGTAGCATTATACATAACGAGAATCGTGTCGAGCTCAGTACCAATCTGCCAGCACTTCCTTCGGCGAAGTACTTAGTTTGCGCCATAAAAATGATTATGAAGCAGGCAAATTCAAATTGCATTAAGCTACATTTAATATTGGCGCCATTCACCGCGCGCCATACTGGAAACTCGACAATAAACAAATGCAAAGACTCAAGGTTAAACCAGAGGTCACCTGCCACTGAACTGCCTTCAAAGTACGTAAACCTCAGGTATGCCACACCACGGGCCCACAGAGAGGTTTTGCCAGTGGGGTTTAGGAGGAAATTTTCTTCTACATGTTGACAGGTGGAACTGAAGGCTACAGAAAAACAGGTTTATTTTTAACCAAGAGGCTTGCATGAATTGGTCTGGAATAGTACAGACATGAGTGAATGAGATTACATGGATTTTGAGGTCCTAAATACAAATGAAACTGGAGTCCCAATTCAGGTAAAAGCTTACTTTTAGCCAAGTAGCTTAACTCTTTGTCATTGAGAGATGAGGGTATGATTTACACATTTAAAAATGATGTAATGCTGCCTTAAAATCATCTTCCTCCCAGAATCTTCATGAAAAGAAAAACATTAGCAGAGAAGTGAACCGTTTTTTTTTTGACAAAGTTTATTAACTGACAAAGTTCAAGGTTACATATTCACTACGCCGGTGGTCTACACAGAACTACAGTACAGGGACAAACCAGAACAACCAAATTCTCAACCAACTTAGGGTGAAACAAGCATTAAATCTAAAGCAGAGAATCAAAAGAGAAAAAAAAAAGAAAATTCTCATCTGTGGTATTCAAGAGAAAAGACAACACAACCACCATCGCTGGCTACCCTGATTATCTTCAGAAAGCAAGATGTGTGACAGCTATAGACTTTCACCCAATTCTGCACCATCCCATTGAAAAGCCAGTTAGAAATATCCTGTCAGAATACTGCAAGTTCAGGCAGGCAGATGCCAGACCATTTTTACAAAGCAACTTCATTTAGATCATTTTACACAGTTCAAATCTGGGAAAAAAAAATCAAGAGGAAAATTAAGAAAATTTATGTCTATTAAAAATATTGTGGCCAGACCATAATACCAAATGAACTGATTACATCAACTGTCTACAAGCAATATTACACATCAAAACAAATTTCATATCAATACTAATTATACCATAAAGAAAAATGTTTTGAAAAACCCAACACGACAGCCAAATCACACCGGTATAATCTTACCAGTAGTCATTTAAATTTCCCAGCAATTACGTATCAGTTTTCAAAATTACCTCAAAAAGCCTCAATCCATGCCTCACAAGTTACTTTGTGCATCAGTTCTTGGCTGTTTGTACCCAAACAAGTGTTTGCTTTTTGAATGAATCAAACAAAAACCATGGAGACTGAGAAGACCAATCTTGAAGAATTTAACACACTTCTTGTCGTGTATACATAACTTTTAATAATTTTTTACACAGCTGCACCTCAAATCTCTTCCTGATCATTTGGAAACCCCCCCCCGAACCATGCAAAACAGGGGGGAGTGTATACATTTCAGAGTATAAATCTCAAAAGGGTCCTCAGATATTGCCAGAGTGACACGACTTCTTATAAGTAACTAGGTAATGACACGCATCCAGTGTTTACCTCCAAACTTAAAAAAGGAAAAAAAAAAACATTTAGTGTTGCATCGGGACTATGTGTCAAACTATTAGCGATGCGATGGCTACGTTTTGACGTGCTGAGTGAGAGATCCACTGGATGCTTGCATGAATCTTAGCTAATTAAAAGAATGAAATTAAAATGAGGAAAAAAAAAAAACGAACAAGAATGACCTCACAGACGGGAATGTGTAACACCCTCTTTGTCATCATTTAAATCACCTCCTTCGTGCTTGAACGACGGCCAGCTGTGTTCCCTTTATTTTTTGGAAAGGGCAGCCGATTCTCATCTGCAAAAGTTCACCTCCTCGCCCACAGAAACTGCTCATCAGCCCCGAAATTTTTTTTGTAGACGGCTAATCACCTGAACCAAGTGTCTGAAGTGGGAGAAAAAAAAAGCAGCTAGGGGTGGGGCTTTGAGAGCCTGAGCCCACTCTGAAAAGCAGCTTAGTTCTTATGAAGTTTGCGTTTCTTTGCCACAGCAGTTCAAAAGAAAAGGAAAAACACGGTGAATTGACCTTTACGACTAACCTCCGTTTTAAGTCCAGGCGTTAGACGCCCATGCTAGCGCATGACTTTAATACGTCAAAGGAGGTCTTCCTGGGCAGCCGAGAGAGGGTACTTGTCACATTTCCCATAATCCTCAGCAGGGCAAGGCAGCGCATGATGGCTCCTGATTAGGCAGCTACAGGAAAAAGGGGGCGTGATCGACTGCTAAATCCACAACAGTGCTACAGACACCGACTGCGTGTTCAGGCTCGTTCCGTTTGCTGGGACACCCCCCCCCCCAGAGCAAAAGATAATGCTGGTTGTGAACAAGCGACATTCCATCGCCATGTGATATGACCCCCACCCCACCCCATTAGCGGTAGCATTAGCATCTGGCTTCCGCAGTATTCGCCACAGCCCACACCGCCAGGTGTCCTCGCCGCCACTCCGCTAAACACGACACAGATACACGAGGACGCGAACCCAGCGCTGCCCCCCCCCTCCCGAAACCGCGACCAGCACAGCCTTTCAGCGCGGAGGCCCCATTCAGCCCGAAATTCACACGGTCACCACACTACCCACCAACTCCAGGTTATTACTCTGAAAATCGATTCATCTCAACTCTCTGCAGACGATATCTGATCTCACAAGAATTACACGGAATAAAAGTGCATCTGGAAAAAAAACAAAATAAAGCCCATGGTCTAAAGATTATTATAATTTTTTTATACAAGGCCTTAAAAACCTCTAATAGAAAATAAGAGGATTTTAGAAACTAATATAAATGGCAAAATACAGTATGTATTAATTTTTTCCTTTGTGATTCCTCAAAAGAATTGGAGGAATGGTTTACAGAATGTAAAATGTATACAAATTGAAGATTTTTTTTGTTGTTTTTCTCTTTTTTTAACACAATCAAGGTACATTTGTGTTCGGTATTTCATTTCAAGATTCAGGATTCGCCTCCCCCCCCCCCACACACACACTTTGTTTTCTTCCTTTTCTTGGACACAAACACGACGCACACAACGTGCAGGTGAAACACCCCCCCCCTCCCCTTTTTGGAAAGAGATTACATCATCCCCACCCCGCTACGTTCACGTTCGACAGCAAAGAGACGTCAAAGGTAGAGATCACATGGCCGCAGATACGTCGCGTGGTACCGGCGCGGGGTCCACCTCCGAAAAGACCCACGACCATGCTACATCTCGAGAAAGCGGTAAGGGGGGGGGAAGGGGGGGGAGAGAGAGAGAGAGAAAAAAAGCAGGTGTGTTACAGCCTCTCACTGGCTGCCTGTTATTTCTCTCTGTAGTACAGCAGATACGCCTTCAGAGCTTCCGGTAAAGGCAACATCAGGATTTTGCTCCTCAGGAGGTTCTGCTGCGGTTCCTCCAGCTTCATGACCTCACTACTGTCCTTCTCTTCCTCCTCCTTGCCGTCCTCCTCGATCCGCTCGTCCTCCTCGCTCTCGGCCGGCTGCGGCATGAGCTGGTTGCCGACGAAGACGTAGGTGTTGATGCGGCGGCGGCGGCAGCGCCGGCGTTTGCGCTTCTGCGGCGCCCTCTGTGGCGTGTTGCGGGACTGCATCTCGTCGTCGGTCAGGCTGCGGAGCGCGCGGCGGATGTAGATGCGGGAGAGGTCCTGGAGGCTCCTCACGCTGATGGGAGCTAAGGAAGAAGAATATAGTTGCACCGCCCCCTTCAGTCACAACCAATCTAATCTGGTCACCCTGGGACACCTTGAACAGGACGCCTTCAGTCATGGAAGAGGTGTACACAGCAGGTAAGAGATACCACTGTGGAGGAGGAAAACCAGCACCCCCTGGTGGCCCCTTTGATTAGTGTTCCCCACCACAGCTGTAGCCCACACATAAAAAAAAATTCTCATACATCTGTTTAAGCAGTTAAGATTTTGCATAAATAATCACACCAAGGAGGTGTGTGGCTCAGTGGGTTAGATCACCATGCCTGTGATTGGAAAGTCGGCGTTTTAAGTCCCAGGGTTGGCAGAATGTCACCACCACTGGGCCCCCTGAGCAAGGCCCTGCGCCCCCCCCCCCCCCCCAATTGCTGCAGGGACCGTCTGACCCCGTTCTCTCTCAAAAACGTACGTCGCTTTGGATAAATAAATAAAATGGGGGGAAAAAAGCACTGCGATGTAATCAACAGGATCATGAAAAAGTACAGAATGAGCCCAGGCTGAATCTGAAGCCCTGCTTCGAAGTGCCATTTCTGGCTCTGAGACCTTTCACGCTGACCCCAGTGACCGGAGTTCTATTAGCAGGACCTAATCAGACCCCAAACACGGTGCCCTCCCCCAGAGACGCAGAGTGGACCTCCGGTACCGAATCCGTACAGGTCTGTAGGAACCCAGATATGTCTGCAGGGTACTCAGAAGGGACTTACGCAGCTTGACGGCGTCGGGCTTGCTCCCATCGCCGCGGCTCTGCTGCACCAGGGGTGCGAAGGACACCGCCAGGATGTTCTTACTCTCCCACGTGCTCTGGCCGGTCCTCGTGATCTGGGTCAGCTGCAGGCGCATGGATCCGTAAGCAACAAAGGCTGCGTTCCTTAACTGTACGTTCCCAGAACTAGGAGGCATCTGAGGCATTATGTCCATGTGCTCCGAACTTGCATTTGGCCATTAGTGCATTTGCACGAAGCATCACCAACATGCCGCCGAGGGCCTCACCCAAGCCAGCCGCAATAATAATATTCGTGGCTGACGATACCTTGCAAAAATGTGACCCTGCAACCAACACGTCAGCCCCGAGCCGCTAGCAGCTTCTGCTGGCTGACGTCCTGCCAGAACCTCGCCCCGGTGCCCCTTTTCCTTACTAATAAGTTAATCGTTTTTCATTGCTGAGACACGGCAGGCCTGTAAATTCTCACATGAAACTAGCAAAACAGCACGGGTAAGATGCCTAGTTTATAGACTGAGTAGTAATGTATCTTCTAAGCACCGATTAACTCACAGTTTTCTACACGTATACTATATACTCCTGAGTTCCAGGAAAAATCAATTTTTAAATATTGATTAAAATTTTGATTTTAAACACGGAGGACATAGGCAAGGTCACACCCTCACACATATATGATCTTAAAGACTATGTCCTCCTTAAGGAACAACAGGACTTAGAGTAGCACATACAGTATGAGAAATATGAGCGAAAAATTAATTGCTCGATCTCAGCAGCAACTAATTGTGTTGGTATCAATCCTTGTTTCTGTTCAAGTGTCTAAATACAACTGAATTTCATGGTGCATTTTCAGAGCTGAACATTTTTTCCAAGTCGAGTCTGACGACGTGATGAAAGCAGCCGACTGACCTGGTCCTCAATAGGCATGACGAGGATGCCCCCCACCTTCAGCAATATCTTCATGTAGTTCTCATGGTCCTTTTGAACCCCAGCTCCGCAGTAAATGCGATCGTACTGGTGGCTATCTGACGAGATCTCTAAGCAGTTCCCCACCACAAACTTGGGTTCACAAAACTCAAACCTGGCGGTAAATAAATAAATAGATAAAAATAACATTAATTAATTACAGCGCCCTCTGCTGCCTGGGAGATGCTCCTGCAATTGCAAGATAGGTAGATGGATGAATTAATTGTATCATTAAAACAGACCTATAAATAAATACTAATCAAATAGATACATCATCAAGGACCAAAAGGCAGAGCCAGAATTCATGTCTGACTCACTTATCAAAACTGTCGCTGTTCTTAATGAAGTCGTCCAGCTTCTCTCTGGCATATTCCACCACATCTGTGTGGAGTTCCACCCCGTGGTTCACCCCAAACGGACCTGGATTCCATCAGACGCAAGACGAAGGTTTAGGGGCAAAGGATGCACCGTGAAACATGCGGTTCGTTCACCTGGCGTCATGCGGCAAAGAGGACCACGCTCCAGGGTGACCGGAAGCGTAGGGAGTCGTGCAACGCACGCTCGCAAACACACCTGGCACTCCCTGCTTCACCCTCTACACTCATGCGCACGAATGCGTACGTCTCCACCCTGAGTCACCTCCTCCTCCTGACCACTCAGCCATTTCACAGACACCCTCCTCTGCGAACTCGGCGATCTTCTTTGGCAGTGTGTGACTCCCAGGTCATGGAAGGACCAACCCAGCCCCCAGCCCCTAAAATCAACTTCATGATCCACGACAGGGCAAAGGAAATGCCATCTCCCATGAGAAAGGCCCTAATTGTGCATAAACAGTCAGAGAATGCATGGCCGCAGATGGTCTCCCATCCTAAGAGTACAGCATACCGCTCAGACAGCAGGATATTACACAGGCCAACTGCAGTAAGCGTACTGCCTATCCAACCTTTTTTATAGTGAGAACTACTTCGACATAGAAAATAATTTGGGGGACTATGCATCTTGGGGGGGGGGGGGGGTTAACTCTATTATTAATCTAATTTCTAATGAGTGCTATGATGGTTACACCTACACTCCCTGTGGAATGCTGGTCACTCGCGGTCGACGTGTGTTGCCGGCCACTCGAGGTATGATACGTCACGCTGTGATACGCTCATGAAATATAACATAAGTCTTGTGTTGTGACTACAGCAATGGAGTGAAACTTTATTTGCAAAGTCTGAGTTCAGGTACTTTGGAATTCTTCTTGGAATTCCTGGCAACACGAGACCACAAAGTTAGACCTCAAGGTCAGAGCTCAGGGTCAGCCATTTATCCGGCATGCCTGGAGCGGTTTTTGCGGGTTTTTGAAGGTCCCAGTGACAACATGACTATTCTGCTGACTTTGGGATGCAAATCAGCAGAGCTGGGTAATTCAGGTCCAGAGAGTACAAGTCCAGACCGGGATTTTGTTTTAACCAACCAGCTGAGTACTCTGTGATTGTGATTCTTTATGCTCAACCGGTTGGTTGAAACAAAATCCCGGTCTGGACTTTTACTCTCTGCACCTGAATTACCATAAGCACAGCAACAAACCTGTCCGATATACTTACATTGACGTGTCAAGTTTCTTTGGGGTCTAGAAAAGCACAGAAGGTTGGCTGGCTGAACAGGAGGTTTGTTATTAAGGCTCAGGCATTTAGCAGAGCCAGCTCTGCAGCATAATTTTTCGGCAAGCCGTAGCATGGTTATGAATTTGAGGAGCCGCCGTTAAGTAAAGACACAGAGTAACCTGGGTGTCTTGTGAAGGTGGTGGGGGGGGTGGTGGTTACATGTCTTACCAATATGAGACACTCCCCTCTTCAGCAGACAATAAAAAACATTTCCTTAATAAAAAAAAAAGGTGTTTTCTTAATAGGGGAACATCTAAGCTTGAGTGAAGAGCTTATGGACACCCTGACCTCTAACCTCTGACCTTACCTATAATCAGGCCCACCATGGTGCTCAAGTAGCCGGTCCCACTTCCCAAGTTGAGGAAAGAGAGGCCCTGGTGGAGCTTCAGCGCCTCCATCACCTCGGAGTAGATGCACGGCGCCGAAAGGTGGATGTTACCATGCTTCCACGCCAGGTCCTTGTAGGCATTGTCCCTGTAACCCTCCAAGTAGTAGTCCCCGCGGTCGATGGCCCGGAAAGCCTGCTCCACCCGCTCTGTGCGGATGTACTGAGCCTCCTTCAGATTGTCAATCAGGTCGTCGTTGTCCTCACCAGCGCTCACGGCGCCCCCCATGGCTGCTGGAGATCTTTGGTGCACGCGCACTCGGGCCGCCCCTCTTGCCGCCCCCACCTCACCACATGGACACCGGGCGGCGCTCCTCGGGCTCTCGACGTCAGATCACCGGCGCCACGGTCATCAAAGGAACTGGGGAGAGGGGGGGGGACAGTGTGCAGAGTGAGATGGGGAATCCAGTTCTCTAGCAGAAGGTCTAGAAGCTACAGTCACAGGGCTGACCCAGATCATGCAGCCTGACCCATGATCGTTGCGCTCCCGGGATCTATCTGGGCCTGTGACTCCGGTGACCTGGGAGGCGGATGGGGAAACACCCACACGGACTGGAGCCTGGCCCAGATCACAGGCTGTGAGCTGAGGTCTGCCCCTCCCAGAGGGAGCAGCAGCTCCCACAGCAAACTAACCCGCCGGCAAAGCAGCTATATATCAGAGCCTTCCTTTAATTTAGTCATTTTTAATCAACACAAAAGGTACCTGAATTGCTCAGAACTTGAACCCCCTCGAATTCAGATGCTTGGTTACCTCCAGGATGAAAACAAATAACATATTACATTACAGAGATTTCTTTTAGCTGTGCTGAGGGGACGCTCATTGTGTCTCTCCATATTCATCACACATCTGACCGACCGGTTATGTACACAAAGCTAAGCACTATTAGTCAATAAGAGAGGCTCTTCAGTGCAACACTCAGAGCCTTTAAACATCTACATTTCCCAGAACCACTTACAACTTCAGCGATATGGACTCTATATCAGCTTATGAAGTCATACAGACCAGACTGAACCTGCAACCCTGCCATTTCCACAGTAAACAAAGTTCTCAAACTGTCCTGGAGACAACGTCCTGGTTTCCTGTGTTCTTACGATGGGGAATTTCCATGAGTCGAGCTTCATAAACACAACCGGTGTACTTGACACAAATTCAGATTTAGAGACAGAAAACATCTTTTGCTTTTGCTTATACAAGTCCCTCCGCAGGCGGTTACTGAGCACGGCTCTTAAAAACAGACACCCGCTCAGGTGCCAGCCCCCGCACCAAAGCGTGCCCACCGGAGAACGTGCAGAACCTGCCACAAAAAAACAAAAACGCCCTGACGTGAGAGTAAACAAGAGTGGGCCGCCTTTTTCACTCTTGACAGTCATCTTTCACAGATTTAAATGCACCCAAAATTAGCAAACCTAAAAAGGTCAGCTGAACTCTTTCCCCTCACTGTCTAACATGCCATCAAGAAAATAGCAAAGACATATGGATGCTTTTTTTTGCCACCACATGTCACCAAAGCCCAAAAAGTTTCCTTCACCCAGCTGTGAATATTGTACCAATTTCTGAGACATTTCTCTTGAAATCAATTCACTTCTGACATGGCATTCACAGGAACACAGGACCAGAAGAGTGACGGACGGAGCATGGACTGAGCTTGAGAAATAACACGAGGATTCCACACCTCAGTGTCATCAAAAGGTGGACCGACAACAAGAAAACCGCAACCAGAAGAGACGATCATAATCAGCATAAGCCCTCTAACTTCTCCACATGCAAAATAAAAACCTTTACCATTCATGAATTAATGAAATTATACGAGCTGCGGCTAACAGGACTGGGCTTGAAGCAATCTCGTTCCCAGATTTGTTTTTTTTTTTTTTAGGGAAGGGCCAGAAAAATGGGAGACGTGGAAAAACCACGAAAGGTCAGCGACATTTTTTAGTAGATCTGCAAACCGCACTCTATGGGGAAGGATCTCAGACCCATGTGGTGTTTAGGTAGACAAGGGGGCAGGCTTTTTTTTTTTTTTTAAATCAAACCTATGAAGAACAGTTTTTGGATTTAATACAAGAGCTTAAAGGGAAGCTGTTACTGGATACAATGAACCTGCCAAGGTTTTTGGTGTCCTAGCTCACCTCCCCTTTAATAAATTCTGGTACGGCTAACTGTACAGGACGGACACCGTGGGTGACTGCCAGGGGGCAGCGTATCACAGCAGCAGGCAAAACGCCAAGCTCAGGGGCATTTATGAGCATCGAGCAAGGTGATGGGCGACGACCCACAAACACGGTGACCACAATCCAAATATGACATGGAAAGGGCTCCTCGTGGAAACCTCAACAAGAAGCAAGTAGAGGAGACTCAATTTCAGGCCATTGCCCTGTCTTCCATCTTCACATGTTGGAGATGGTTTCAAAGAATGAAAGGATTCAAGATTCGGAGACAGGTACTGTATGGACCACAAAAGTGGTTTATTGGAAGCTACAAATAGACTCATTACAGAGTAAGACAGAAGTTGTCCTTTGTACAATGTACTTAGGAATTCTGTTCCTACAAACTCCATCTGGCTCTCCATGAGAGTTTTTGGGGTCAGAGCCCAGGGTCAGCCAGTGTCCAACTCCCCAGTAGCAGTTGGGTTTAAGGGCTCAAACCCACAACCTTCCGAGACACAGGCTCAGATCCTTAACCTGCTGAGCCGGATACCGCCACCATAACATTGCTCTGGCGAGGGCAGGAAGAGGATGAGACAGAATCCGCATTAAAAATCTCCACAAAGGTAAACCACCTTATATCTGAACGCTCACACATTCAGTTCTTTTTTTCCATTCTACGAGCCGTTAGTTTCAAACCGGTGGCGGAAGGAGCATCACGCCTGTGCCAGGTCTCTGTCCCACTTCTCAGTTTGCACTCCTGCACTGCAGAGTCCTCCCGAGTTTTCTGCAGTAAAAATATTGCGGCCCAAAATGGGTCAGGCGCTGTTATTTTAAAGGAACGTGCGAGTAGTTGTGTGCGACGCGTCACAAAGCACTTAAAGCAATTTCAGTCTCTTGGAGAAAAAAAAATGTAATCTCCTTGGTTTACACGCTGAACTAAGAAAAAATAAACAAATAACAGCAGGTTAGGATGTGGGACCTGAAGGTTACTATCCCACTAGCTCAAATCCCACTGCCAGTAGAGTGATTTCACTGCTGATGCCATGAGCGAGGCCTTTAATCCCCAGTTGCACCAGGGATTGTCTGACTCATGTTTCTCAAATGTACATCGCTCTGGATACAATCAGCTGCTAAACAAATGTAAATGGTGCAATAAAGGGTAAACTGGGGGAGACCCTGTATTTCGCACTGAGCCGCATCTCTGGCTCTGCGTCCGTGACTGACCTTGCCTCTGCTCGTACTCACACTGAGATGTCTGTGTGCTGCAGCTGAGTCTCTGTCAGAAGACCTCACCATTCTGACACTGGCAGACCAGCCCACACAATTAAACCCCATTGTCCTGCTTGCCGGGAACAAGAAACCCATTCACCGCGTCTTCTTGCACCCGCACCCTGACCGCACAATACACAAGCAAGGGCTTTCCATCTTCTCCAAGACGAGGCCGTCTCTATATGCAGCCACGTTTTCTCGTTCGTCTTTAAAATATACGAAGTGCCACAGACTTAACGTTTACGATATGAGCTTTACGAAGAGAGGCAGCGGAACGTAAACACGCAGAGGAGAGGTACACACGTCTTTATCATTATCCTGAATCCACCTCCGTTTGTCGCCCCCTTCTGGCTGGTCAGATATCGGCATCAGATGCGACTTGGGCCTGAGGTTTACAAAGACAGGACTCCAACCCTGCAGGAAAAGGCGGACTTTCCTATTTCTAATGATTGATTTCACCAACATACAAGCCACGAGTGGAAAAAAGTATGCAGCATCTGAGCCGTACCCTGCCTGTCCATCTCAGTCGCTTCCACGACTTGTGCCACGTTTCAAAGGCTTTCAGGCACCAGCAAACAGACAGGCCAGTGTCCGTCACCCTCGTCCCTGCTAACCGTCACCCTCCACGCTGACCCGGAGCAGCTCAGCTCTCAAGATGTGTAAACTAGTTAAACTTGTGACACTTGCGGGACTCAGATTTCAAAACACACAAACCGTTTGAGCAAAAGCATGATCACAACTGCAGCTTAAAAGCAGTTGTGAATACTACACAGCATCACGACTGAGATTTCTAAGATTTTTCCAAAGATTCCCCAAGCAAGAATGGGAATCCAGCATCATTAGTAAATAACATTCTGTTGAAAGTTTATATTTCAAAAACCCATGCAACGGAACACATTGCATCATATTAAATGCACAATCGAGTATCAAATCGATCTGAATGAACATCACTGCTGGTTTCATTTCACACCAGTCTGATGCCTGTCCTTTACAGGCAAGGAAAAATTGTGTGGTGTGTAGTCTCAAAAAAAAAATATATAAAGCTCATTTTTTCTAGAGATGACAGACGTGGGAAGAGTTTGAGAGCCAGTGTAATGAGAAACAGATAGTCAACACACAGGAACTTCTCTGGAACGAGCATAACAGGTTAGCGGAGTACTCGGGTATCACGTACTCATCTTCTCCATGCCTGGGCAGACTTAGAGGCTCCGCAGCAGAGGTGCAGCCTAGGCAAGCCGCACTTACCGCGTTCCCCGATCGCAGAGAGGAAGCCCGCATCGCGCTGCACTCAGCAGCTACCAGATGCCGATAAAGAACCAGGCCCCAGCAAGACCTGGGCTCCCAGCTGAGTGACAGTACGGGGGAGCAGGCCTGTCACAACAAGACGAAACACAATTCATAACAGAAGACGGCGGGCGTCACATCCTACCAGCTTCATATCGCCTTTTGCAGCTTTTTTAAAGAATTGCTAACGACAGAGACAGTATTTTAGAAATGTTGATCAGCACTGTATTTGAGGAAAATGAAAAAAAAAAGCAAAACAATAATAATTACCAAGCCACCAAAGCAGCACTTCTGCTACAAATTAAGGTATTAATTCATAAAGATGATGAGATATATATTTAGACAGAGGTTAAACGGAGATCCTGTTAAAACTATGTTCACAGTCAACACATTCATCTTTATATATGCAATTCCTTTTGATTTTCTTCCCCTAAATATACATTTAAATTATTGTGTCTTCTATAGCAAACCGAATTACTACAAGTGACACCACCTGTAGTGGAAATGTGTGAGGTGTTGAGGGACATTTACATCACAGTCATGTAAACCAAACACAATTTCACAAGTCAGTAGTCTTTCCTGTAATTACCCACATTGGTCAAGGTGGTTGGAAACAAACCCTTGCACTTCAGATGCATTTATCTGACTTAATAAATTATGTGTCTGCCATTTCGTGTATTAAAAAGGGTCTTCCTTCCCAGACTCAGCTGGGGTTAATGGGATGGAGGCTGGGTTGATCACAGACACGAGCTGGAAGTCACCTCTGAATTTCCAGCGCCTCCATCTCAAAGTCAGTGGGATTCTCAGGGCCCAGAATACCAAGGTCCTCGAGCTCTGTGCCTGTCCTCCGGTACCAGCGGTGACGCATCGACAGGTCACTGTACACCAGAGCGGTACCGGCAACCTAACGTCAAGTTTAAAGGTGACAGAGACGGAGCTCGTCTTGTGAAAAAACGAAAGCAGGAAGTCAGAATCATCACTGGTATACCAGCTGGTCAACAGGAAGGTGCATATCAGTGCCTCACGTTCTACTTGCACTTAATAAAATGCATTTCAGATAGCTTCAAAGCCCTCTGTAGACTATAATGATGTGCCTAAGTCAGGATGAAGTGCTTGTTTACACCTTGCCAGAGGCACATGACAGTTTATTTCTTTGATGTGGCTTCCAAAACAAAGACAGGAAAAAGTTCATTAGCTCTGTGGAGTCAATGGTCCTGGAGAATGAAATGTGGAAGATCGCTAACGATAGACAATGGTATTCGCTAAAGTCATACCGTTCTACATAAACAAGGGATATTTTGCAGCTGTTCTGACATGTATTCAAATATTATATAATGGCATTCTCAAGAAAAACATTTACTGCAATCAGGAAGAAAACAGCTTTAATGTATTTATTATGCAACATTCTGCGGGAGTTTTATTTTAAAATAGAACAATGCACAATATCAAACGTTACACACAAACTATATATTACTTTTTACAAACTACTGTGTACATGACACTATTGCAAGAGTATGCTTTGCCTTATTCTGGATAACTGAGCCCCGTTTCTCCCCTTTTCACTCAAGTCTCGCTGCAAGGACAGTTTGTGACAGCGTTATAATGCCCGGAACCACCACATTTCTTCATTAACCTCAACAATCATCTGGTGCTTATGTCGTACTGAATATTTTCCGGTTTGTTTTTCGGCTTGCGCAATATACCCCTGCCTTTAGTTGCTGTTGGCGTTACATCCAGCTTTTATTCTTATTTGGCTTTTGCACATTTCCTGGATCGACAGCTCCGGCTGCCTCTCACAGCGCTCAGTCTATTGAAAAACACAAGCAAAATACCCAGCCACGACTTAGGGACCGTCGGAAATATCCACCACACATACGAAGGCTAGGTTTTGCCCTACAGCAGTCTGCAGTTTTGCAAATAGATTTTCGCGTAGCTATTCCCCCCCCCCTTTTTTTTTTTATAAAAAAAAACGGTCTATGGTCACGGTAAACGTTTATGCAATGCGAAAAGTTTATAGATATGGGAATTGTTTTCCACGGAGCAGTAACATTTAAATACGATCCCTTATTTTGTGTGGAAAAACTTTCCACTGACGCCATCTCGGCAGCAACAAAGAGTCTCATCAAGTGTAGTACATCTGCAGTGCGTTTGTATTGCATGACAAAACTATATTATTATTATTTATACTGTTCTTGGTGTTATTATCATCACTACTAGCTATTCAGTTATTTGTGCATGTTAACGCAAAACATTCACCAGATGCTTTACACAGTTAACACACGTAATAGTTATTTTGAAAATAAAAAATATTAAAAAAAAAACAAATTAGAAGACAAAATGACATCATACACACGCTGGAGCGAAGTACAGGCGATCATAAGACCTTCTGAAACGCCTTCATTTACCTATGCGTTACTTTTAAGCGGCAATATTTCATTTAATCTGTGTTTCAGCCTTATGGAGGTTGGTCGTCGCAGCGAGGGCCCATTGCTCCTCATATCATCAACTTTCTTAAAGTAAAAAAGGCCAGAAGAGCTCCGGCGAAGCACGCAGGGACATGCACGCATCTAGGTAGCCGTCTTTAACTTATACGATCTTAAATTACTGCCGGTGTCCACTTGGAGATTTTATGATGGTTCGCTCAAACAAGGAAAAAATTGCTCGTGTTCAGCTATAATAACCGAACCCTCTGCTAAAAGCCCGATATTATTATTTTGAAAAACAGAAAAGTCAAATCATTTATCAGAGGCCACGATCCAACCCCCGTTGCACAACAATAAAAACTTAAGTCCGACCAGGGGCCCGTAATATATGACATACGTAGCCATGTTAGATCCAAATTCGCCTTCGAGTGCCGCAGCCACATTTTGTTAAATAACACGGTTTTCGCGACGCAATCAGCGGCCGGGGCGAAGCGCGGAGCCCGAATGCGGGCTGGATGCCCGGGCTCAAGGCACCGCGGCCGTCCGCTACTTTGCAACAACAAACAACAAAATGTCGACACGCGAGGCTTTAAAAACGCAGCACTCACCCAGTCACGCCGCATATGTCACCGCAGCCGAAAGGAGCGAGATCGCAGCGAAAACGGTGAATAATATCAGGGTCTTTCTATGATCGCTCCTTTTCTTTTTCTGAGTATGATATCGAGATATTTAGAAAGCGCAGGACATGCTGGCGTCTTTTCGGGTCGGCGCAGGAGAAACAGCTGAGAGGATGTAAACATATGTCACGTGGTGGGGCGCTGATGGAGCCGCAGGACCGCAACCGGACCCGGTCACGCTTCTGCGACCGGCCGCCGGCAGGCCCGTCATCTCTATACGCGCATTTACAATTATATTCCAAATGACGACGATTATTATTCTGCGTGCATAATTGTGGGCTGTCTGTGTAAGTTTCCGCATTTGCGTGACAGCGCTGCAAACCACCGTTTGCAGTTTATTTTCCGCGCATGTTTTCCCGGTCAGGCCGGAACAAACCATTAACGTTACCGTAACCTGAACACTATGTCGGGGGGGAAGGGGTTTACCTAGAGGTAAACAGCACGCTGAGATAGATACTCCCGTTTTTGTTTACATAACGGCTCGCAGTCTGTATGACATTTTAATTTGAGTTTCATAGGCAGCATATTTTCTTCCAACAACACAGTTTGATATTAATAAAGAAAACTCCAGGAAGCCATTGCGTTTTACGTTTTACGTGGCGTGGTGTCGTTCATCGCACTGGTCAGTACGTAAATAAAGTTGCAGATCCAAATAAACCAAGTGCATCTAGTTTACCCGTTAAACACCCGATAGATGCAATCTAATTCTACTTTAAATGCTGCTGTTGAGCTCCCTTTAATAAAGAGAATGAAATGTACAGAAGAGCAATAGTGTGGGGGTTGATCGTACCTTATTACTGCAGCAGCTGATCCCGGCTGTAAGGGGAGGTGGGGGGAGAGAGAGATGAGCAGTGTCTGGGAAGGGGGAGGGGGGCACCATCCATTCACCATTTTCTGTAACTCTTGCCTGGAGCCGGACACAGAAGCCCAGGTCAAGGGTACCTCTATTATCCCCCATCTTACAACCTGTTATCCAGTTTTGGGTCGTGAGATCCTCCTGTGCCATTATGCTGTAATTATAATAATAGGCTCCACCAGGGCCGTGTGTAATTCGTTTATAGAGAACGAACAGCTCAGTATGAAAACAAGACCTGCCACTTAAGTGTGTGGATGACCAGCACCACCACTGGAGTGTTTAACAGTACTCATTGCAGTTAATTCACATTTACCTAATGCCTAGTCCAAAACTAAAGTTTAAAAGCGGCGTTTTGGCATTTGTCGCGAAAGAGCTGTCAAGTTAGAGGCACATTTCTGCACGTATATCCCACCAGTGCAGCCTGGCAGCTTTAAGACTAAACTGCCGAACCTTTGTTTATTACAAAAGGCGCTTTGTTGCACAGGCCGCTATATCCGTTAGCGCTACTAGTGCTGGGCATAATCACACTGCCGTGATCGTCATCATGCAGATGACGGGGACGTGCACTCACTAACCTCCACGTGATTATGAATGGTGCACCCCACGCATTCATAACACATCCTTAAATGCATTAATTAAAGGGGCTACGAATGACAACTGCAATTTTCCTAGCAACCAACCTCTATGCCTTTAAAATTGATTAGCTTTAACGTTTCATCAAATCACATGTCATACATATTTCATTGTATTGTTTTATGCATGATTATTGATTTTCCCACCAATTACGTAAAATATACTTCCAGGAATAGAAAAATGACTTCGGTCTGCCATCTAGTGGCTATGCTTTGGCAGTGTAAAACTTACCTATATTTTTGTTTTCATTCAGATATGTAATTGGTGGAATATTTGTGCACAGAATAGTAGGAGAGAGGGTTAGGGTTGCAGTTAAAACGTTTGCTTAAGTTAGCTAGATTTCTAAAAGAAGCTTAAATAGATAAATAGATTTAAATCATTAAAAAAAGAAAACAGTCTTCAAAAATGTACTAGGCCTACTTTTTTAACTTAAGCGTAGCTCCTGGTCAGCATTGATGTGTTATTAAGAGGTAAGCTGTTTAGGAAACGAAACTTAAGGGACGTCTTAGTCGGATCACTGATTGAAAATTAGAAGCCATTCAGCTAAATGGACATCATCTTAATTAAATGCCGGTTCAGTGTAACTCTGCAGGTAATTTTAAATTTCGAAAAAAATAGGTCACTTGCCTTAAATACCAGGTTCAGACATATTTGTAAATGTAAGATATAAAAATGCTAACGATTTTATCAGTGAAACGTCGCCTGTTTTATTTAGGCCTATTTATTGTAATAATTGCTTTTGGTTGATTGTCTTGGGTCCATATCAGAGAGCCGAAAAAACCACACTATTTTTTAGCAATAATGAAATCATTCATCTTAATGTTTATGAGGTCGCTTTTACAATTACATGCATGTACAGTGCTGTCTCTTCTTATTTTAATAGAAAAAGTAAACATCAATTGATAAATCCCGTGGGACTGGTTTTAATCCGAACATTTGCACAATTCTATTACCACGAAACAAAGAAGGCTTTATGGATTGCAGTCTTCTGTCTCGTGGAAAGGGCAATCAATCGCATTTAATGTTAAACCAAAAGTATTATTAGTTATTGTTATTATTATTATTGAAGAAATATTGAACACTTTAGGGCTGACAAAAATGCGTATAAAACGGAATACATCCCAAAGTACAAACAATGCTAGTGCATGTAAAAGACCCTTGAAGTCAATTGCGGCTGAATTACGAAACGCTGCACTCCGGGTTATGGATAACATCGAGTTGCACATTTACACGCTCACACGTCAGACCATTTGAAAAGTTTTATTTCTACCATACACAAACTGTACAACACAGCGCATATCTGTTCTGAAATAGTAAAAGATTCGGGAAACTTCCATATACAAACTACCTGAAATGAAAAAAAAGCATAACTCATTTTAATTAAAAAGAAATAAACTAATTTACAATACAGTCTCATAGTACCAATATCGTTCGACACAAAATCCAGGTCACGTTACAAAACACATCAAGTACAAACAGGGAAAAAAAATAAATATTCTTCACAAAACTTCCTGAGCAAACAATACGTGGCATATAAATTAAATATTAACAATTACAAATAAATAAGCAGAATTATAAAGTTATACAGTTATCATGAATTTCAACAAAATTGCTGATAAAGTTTATTAAAATTACAATTTAATGAGTTGATTCTTTTTGTATAAAATAAAACATTTCTTTGCATTAAGCCATTGTTCATCCAGGTGGAAGGTTTTATAGACATATTTCATTAATTTAAATAGTGGAAAATGTATAGGCCTAGTCTACCTCATTGTGTAGCAGTTCTGCAAGGTTAACCAACACGTTCTTGGAAAAAAAAAAGAAATTTAAACATGTAATAAAACCATCATCAAAGGCTTTGTATTCAGATGTATGTTTAAATATTGTACAGTGGAAATAAGAGTTCAATGCATCAAAGTAAAATGTTATTTACTTTAAGGTGAATTACATATCGGATGAGTAATTCTAGTAAAACATTGAAAGGTTGTGTGTGGTTCTTAATACCTGTTTTTATGGGTTGGCGAACTACATAAGTTGGAAAAACGGTTCCATTAAACTGAGTCATCTTTTACAAACACAAACGGCGGCATTTTAATTCTGTTAAAAACAAGACGATCTTTTTAAAAAGTAAACGACATTCAAGGAGCACTGTGAAACTTATCAGTACGTTGAGTTGCATACATATTTTGGAGCGTTTCCTACACGAATAACGACATTATCTTGATTTGGCAAATGCAATCTTATCATCTGCGGAAACCCTATAATTAAAAAGTGTCTAAACAGAATCGCAGCTCCGCGCGCGGCGGTGTTCTGCACGTGCCGGACGACCGCTCGTCGTCTGCCGGAGATAAAACGATAGTCGTAACTCCAGCTTTCTCCACAGGAAAGAGTAAAATAATAATAATTTATAAATACATTTAAAAAATTAAACCTTGGCAAAACTTTCTTCAGGAGCAGAGCCTCTCATCGGGCATTCCGAGATGTGAAAAGCAGGATTTCCTTTATAATGTGTGAAAAACTGGAAATTAAAACAGCCGTTTTCAGCTTTCATACATACAGACTAATGTCAATATCCTCAGGTGTGTCTTAAAGCCGTTAAATACAGTACAGAACTGCAAAGCACAGTTTAATTATGTCCACATGGTCGGTTCAAACCACAGCCGTAATTGTCACCGTGGGGGACCCGCGGAAACCATACCCCCAATTACACTGCGGCTGTTTGTATAACCAGGATACCAGTTCATTCTGAGCATCACAGAAGAATCCACCAGGTTGTAATTCATATCAATCTTATTCTACTTTCGAAAACTTTCCAAAGGTGGGAACTTTAACGGATTTAAATTCCGTATGGATTAGATTCACCTGTGGCACTTTAAGCGAACTGGCCTGTATGGTGTCTGTGTGCTTATAAATCTAGAATGCAGTAGAAACTGTAGCGCTTTCAAGCTAGAAAAAAAACTCACTACTTCTTTTCCTTTAAAAATAACTGTACTGTATAATAAATTAGACACCATCTCACATAATACTATTGTACCACAAAACAGTGAAAACTATGTTTCATGTACACATTTACAGTTAGGCACATATATGCACACACACGTGTGCACACAAAAGGCAGTTCATATCAATATAGTTCAAGACAAAAATAAAGACCTAGATTGTGATGTTACGGTCTGGTAGCTTTAGGACCCAGCGCCTCGGCTCTGTGGCTAAATCAGACATTCGGGTAATCAAAAACAGGAGAGGAATGCTGCTGTTAACTCGGTGTGAGACGAGTGGATTTCAAATATACAACTTATCCTGTTGAAAGTGTTTCTCTAGCGTTCTTCAAAACGATGATTCCCAGGGAGTTATTCCGCCTGTCTACTTCACTTAACGACTTTAGGATGCATCGCCACTAGGTGGCAGCAACGAACCATAATTTAGGCAGAAATGTAGTCAGACGTTTTTGTTTTTTCTTAATAAAAGACGTAACGTAATATAAAAAAGCCCTATGAGAAATATCTTAGAATGGAAGGTGCTAAAATATTTACAGTGTGCGGAGTCAGGCTGCTGTCCAAAACATCAAGTTAGCAGCTGTATGGTTTTAAAAGTTCTTTTTTAAAATGATCAGTTGTAGGAGCTAATAAATAATAATAATATTAATAATAATAACAATAATAATAATAATAATAGGAAGAGGAACAAGAAGAACATTGGGTGGGAAAATAAATTAAGACAATAAATAATAACGTGTAATACATACAAATAAATACAGAAGTCGATTACAGCAAACAATACAGGAAAAGTAAGTGCAAGGGGGTAAAAATTCATCACATAAATAAGTAATGCAAATTGCTTTTTAAGTCCTTAACATATCACGGCTGGTATGATTTTATTCAGTGCAATATGTTTGCTGTGAAA